ATATATATATATATATATATATATATATATATATTCATATTTCGAGATCGAGAAATCTGTCCGAACGTTTCTTCCCTCGGAGTGACTCAGGATCCAAGTAGCTATAATTATCATCTACCAAAAGAGCAATTGAACGTAGGTGAATCCATTTTACGCGTCGAAGTCCGTTAACTTTCTCCGCAGACAGTTCGATTTACCACCGGTAAGCATTTCCGTCGCAGTTTAAAGGTTTCGAAACGTTATTCTTGATTCAGGCCTCCGAAGATTACAGCATTTCCTTTTTCTTTTCAAATCGATCCGGGTCAATCCCCCATTATAGATTGCGAATCAGTCTATAACGTCTATAACACGAATAACAGCACGCGGGAGAGCCGTAATTATCGGTGTTTATAAACAGTCTACGAGATAAAAATAATACAGTTTGTTGAAATCGTTTGCTGCAACCACTCCTCGCCTCGTAAATCGCTGGCTAACTCTTGAAAAACGAGATCATGCGGCGTTCTGTAAATCTACGATAATTGTCACGAATTCTTAGATACAGATTGGCTTCGTAGAACTGAACATTTTACACAGGATATTTTTTTAAGAGAAGTGTTTAGTAAGAGAATGATCGAGATTGATTTTTCGTAACTCGTTGTCCTATTCAGAAGTTTGGAGCACAATTTTTTTTTTAGATGAACACAATTGCTTCACAAAATTTTGTGAGATATATAAATAAGACACTGAGATATTTATATTTACTTAAGAATGTCGTTATTTCCTTTGATACTCAAGATATTCCAAACTTTTGAGCGAGAGTATAGTTGCAGCACGTAGTACATACAGTACTGCTTGTAATTATTTCGGGATTTGTTCGAATATTAAAGGTTTGATAATTAATAATTTGTGCAACAGCTATTTGTTAATACAAAATATGCAACAAAGTATTGGAACAAAAATTGTTGCGATAATATAAAGAAACTTAATGCAACTATATTTCATAGCAGTATAAAATAAAATCGTGTAAAAATTAAAAATGAGAAATTGAATTATGTTCAAAGAAATAAATTTTGAACAAATTTGTTTACACTGAACTTCAAGATCTAGATAAATATTAATATCTATGACAAATGAACACAATGCTAGAATAATAGTAACAATGTAACAATGTAACAACAAGATATATATTATTGTTATGTAGAAGCTAAATACACGTGTACTTTTTCAATCAATTTTCACGAAAATCGTGTTAATTTTATTCCTTCGTGGTGAAACATACCACTCCATAACGATACTTCACGATGCATCCTGTCTTAAAGGAAGTATTACAAAATCACTTCTGTTTCAACCTCGTGTGCAAGAAATTAATGACCTGCGTTATAATTTTCAAATCAAACCAAGATATCTTAGCGATACCTTGTACGCTGTCGAAAGTTACATCAAGAAGCAAAATTTCCAACTGGCGTATCGCCAATTTACGATCACCAAAGGAATACATTTCTACATAAAGCTTGAAACCCGTAGCTCTCGAATAACCATGAGCATTATCAAAGACGCGGTCACGCTATTTCCACCAGGTATCGCCATAAAACTCTGGGAAGCAGAGACGATCAGAATCCTGTGATTTTCACTGGACGAAGCCTTTTATCGCACGTTCCCTTTCATCTTCTCGCTATTCTATCGTATCTATCTTTGTTCGCCAACGTTTCCTTTTGTCCTTTCCGCGCCATTGTGTGTCACGCTTTCATTCCAACTCGAATCTTAGTCGTGCAAAAATTCAGCTCCCCGTAGCAAGCACTATCCCTCTTTCTTTTTTTCTTTCTTTCTTTTTCGTTCCCTTCTCCCTCCCTGCCCCCTTCACTGCTGATTTCTTTCTTTTCGTTTTGCCTCTAAAACGGTATGTAGGCGTAGTATAGTCGCGTGGCTTAGAATAGCAGCCGTTCCTCTTTTCGTTGCACACGGGGAAACAATAGAAATGCAAAAGGTCTGGCTGTGGCTCGATGCATAAAGGAGGTCGCTGGTAGTTACAATGCACTTATCTACTACCGTAAGGATATTCACCCGGAAGCACATATCTATATTTATCGGCGGCTATCCTTCGATCATTCGGTCGTGTCGACAGAAGTTGTTGCGATCGACACGCGAAATTCTGTACCGCAATTGTTTTATAATACAATAATTGACATTAAAGGCATATAAAGATATTCACAGTTATCGATATTCTTCGATCGATATTCTGTCGTGTCGTAGTTGCAATTGACAGATAAAACAATTAATCATCTCCTCTTGTGCAACCATTTCTTTACGGAGGAATTATCGAAGAATTATTAAAAAATATACATCGTTATCGCAGTTCCACAAAATGAAATGAAATAGATTCAGCGCGTAGATAAAGAAGCACGTAAGTATCTGTATTTACTGATGATCATCGTTTGATTATTCTGTCACGTTGTAGTTGCAATCGAACATATGAACTAGCCGGCAATTTTCTCTTACGTGATCATATTTACACCACTTTAATTGACTAATTGAATAAAAAAAAATAATAGACATCGTTGCTGCGGTTCTAAAAAATTTAATGAAATAAATTATTTTGCAAGTAACCTTGCACCGTGGTAAACAGGATGCAAATTTAATGACGCATCGATGTTCACGTATGCATTCTGATTATGAATTTCAATAACCAATTATACATCACTAACCTCTCATTAGGAAACTTATTTGAAAATTAATTCGAATACTATGAATATAATATAATATAATTATACTACGTTTGTATTTATTCGAATGCATGTGCAATATATACAAATTTACAGATATTAAAAAAGTATTTAAACATTTTTTAGTAAACATAAAAGTATTTTAACATAAAGTATTTAAACATAAAAGTATTTTAACATTCGATTATCCATTACGTTATCAAGTTTCAATATTCATTAACTGAAACTATTTTTAATATTTATTACATAATGAAGATTCTTTACGTAAATTATTTTTTTACTAAATATGTATTTGCAATAAATATCTTGTAACTTCTATACGCAGCGTCAAATTGGTTTCAAATTTTACCAATATAATCATAATAGTTGTTTCCAATTATGGCATTAATTTCCAAGTCTTCTGTATAACGCAGATAATATCTAGATGTTCAGACATTTTCATGTGACTAATTAAAATATTCTCAAGTGTACCAGTCTTCCGCAATTAACAAACAACGAAATAAAAATCTACCTTCTACTTTCTCTACAACACAACATTCTTACAAAATTCTTTCCAAACCACGATACACCGGATCGTTTACCAATCCAGAGTACCGTCACGAACGAAATCGTTGGCAGGGAATCGAACGATCGTTGCAAAATATCCCTCTGATTCGCGAACGATGCAATCAGGCGACCGGTAATGCCAGCGGAGATGGTTTCGCCAGAAGAAAAATCGACACTGATTCTTCAGTCATTCACCCAGACCAGATTCAACCTGACCAAACGATTATGCAATTTTCCACGAAGCTTTCTTTACAGCTTCGAATAACCGGCGCTATTTTCATCCTGTTCTGTATCCGGCGTACGTAACTCTGGGCGGTAAACTGCGCGCCCTTTCGTGACTTAGATCCGGCCAGCTATACAGTCTCTAAAGAGTGTCGAGGCGAACATGTAAGCGGATATCTATAGACCAGCCGTGATATATATAGAAGAATGACCATTTCGGGGTTAATATCCTTGCGGTCGGTCGGCGTAATGTCGCCGTAAAGTATTAACGATAGGCGATAACAGCCGATTCGTAGCGAGGGACAGGTGATTTTCGTAAGCCAGCCATTGATCACATTTTCGAATATAGTATTCCAATTGAATTACCGAATATAGTATTCATCTCTTCATAATTTATCATCCGTTTTATATGTCTTCGATCTATCGTATCTTATATACATTCTCTCGTATCTTGCAGATCGACGATCCGATTCACGTAATTTCCATCGAGGAACCATCTAGTGGATCCAGACAAAAACCGCCAGACTACGAGGCGGTCACGGACGCGCCACCTAGCTACGACGATGCCATCAAATTGAATCCTAGTCAACTACTTACGCCGAACAATAGCAGCACGTTGTCGTTGCCAACTGTACACAGCATGGTCCCTAGAACCGTGGAGATTGTCTCTAGGGACCCAACGCCGTCACCTCCGCCACCTTACGCAAGGTAAAATTAACACCGGCTTTGCTTCCTCTTCAACGAAACACGTTCGATCAATCTGATAACGTTAATGGATTCTCTGATGGATAGGATATAAAAAGAACAGGTGTTTGACGTACTATTTCGTTCGTAAGTCATTCCCAAGAATTAGTTAGCTCGAACACGCTGTGGTGTGCAGAATAGGGGTGAAACAAAGTCCGAGAATTTCATACACGGTTCTAGAGAACTATGACGTGATTCCACTTCTTGATTCGTTGTCAGTGATGCAGTGGATTGCTTTACAAAACTTGTGCTGACGTTATGGTATAGTGCTAATGGTACTGTCTGCGGTAGAACTATGATTACCTAAACTCTTCTACGAGTTACTCAAGGGGTAGTTTCCTCATTGTCTACGATTTCTTAATTCAAATAGCAAATTTAAGGTATAATTCAAGAAATGTTTCATTGTACGTATTTATAGTTGTAAAATTTGACTATGCTTCTACTGAAAGTCGTGTAATTTTCAAGACTAGAAATTTCTTAAAAAGTTTAATAATAGAATTTAATTCTTCGCTGTTTCTCTGTTCCTTTTGACGATAAGATTACAAATTTTAATTTTAAATTAATTATTCCTTTAGCTATATAAGTTGAAATGAAATTAAAACATTGATGCTCCGCAGTAAATGATTTATCAAAGAATATTAAATCTTAATTATAATTTCACCCCGTCGATCTCTTTAAAGCATAATTTCACTCTTAAACCGGCTTAAATCAATTTAAAATGAAGTATACTCTATACCTAATTTTGTAATTTAGCTTATTTTCATAAAATCTACCTTAAACTTTATATCTCAAATCCTCAATGGAGGCTTAAATTTTCATACTCGCGCGCACAATTTTCTACTTTATTATTTATCTAATTTTGTTATTTACAAATAATTTTTCCTCATTCCAGGTGAAATATTTGACACTACCACATATGATCGCAACAAAAGAGGCTTGCGAAATGCTGGAGGTCCACAGCGTACACCAGCTGAGTACGAGAACACAAAGAAGGGTGCAAACCACTCGTCGTAGCTGTCACAGCACACCGTTAAAAATGCTAGTGACAGTGCACTCGAAGAACTATTTACGACGAAACAATAACACCTCGTCGTAGGCACTGGATCTCGTTTAAGTAGACTAAAGATATTTGTGTTCAGAAAAGAATCAAACGGACAGTCCTCCAGACGGGACCCCGCTTATTATCACTGAATCAACCACAACGACACGATCGAAGCTAGAATTGAAGACAGTTTGTTCGATGGATGCTACGTATGAGAAAGAGATGATGCGATTTTTTTCTTCTTCTTCTTTTTCTTTCATTTGCAAGAACTTCAGAAACTTGAAGGGAAGGATTGAAAAGAGTCAAAGGAGATTGTGAACATTGTGCCTTCCGCAAAGCGCCTCGTTAGACCTCAAGCCCAAACGTTTGCACGAAATACTCATGACTCGATAGGCAGTTCCAGAACTGTCGAAACTGTCAAGTGGACCTGTCGATAAAACCCGTACGAGTTTGTCGATTTGACCTGGCTAATTTAGAGCAAATCTAAAATAGCAAATACGAATCGTCGATAGCTGGATAAGCTTCGTGCATTTATACGTTATTCTATCTGTACGCAATTTACGTGTCCTTTGTTATTAAAGGAGGAGCAGCATTTGCTGGAGGAAATCGGCGAAACCTCTGGGAGACGCGAAGAAATCAAAGGAGAAACGTAGGAGTTCCTTGAAAATGATTTCGGAAGTGGAAATTTCGTTCCGAATTTCATCGCTTAGACAATCTGTGCGGTTTCTTAGAGGAAAGTACGTTTGCTTGCCATATGATTTCGATGATTGTCATTTTTTACACCATGTACATACATACCACCATGCGAATCTCGTTCGCACGTCCATTTTATTGTGATATATTACGATGATGCAGGTATTATATGATACGACACTTATGTCGCGTACGATCTTGCTTTGTGAAACAAGACTCTTTTTTTTATAATGAAAATGCAAAATATAATGATAGGCAACTTTTAAACACGAGTTTCTTTTCTATACCAAACCCTTGGTTGCATGCTGTGCTTCCAATGAGATTCGAAATGACAGAATACTAATAGAATAGTTAGACTGTGGGCATTTATATATAATTTGAAAACTAAAATTGCACAGAATGCATACGACATGAAAAAGTAGACGAAATATCCAATATTCGATACGTAAAATAATTTTCTACCGAGATTCTACTTTTCTAACTGTCTACTACTCAGAAATATAAATTTATATAAAAATTTGTAGCCTAATGATCGATGGATAAAAATTTGTCCACAATTGTCTAGTTATACAAAAAAATGTAATAAATATTTCGTTTTCTTTTTGAAAAAAAAAAAAAATGTCAAAGAAGAAAAATATTTAGTTAATAGACAAGAAATTTTTTCAAGATTACGTCTCCTTCGAGATTTTAAGATCACGTTTCATTTTCCAAACTAGAAAGGAAACTAAATTCCTTCTTGTGTGAGAACTTTGCAAGGAATAAACTCAAGATTCATCGATAAATACCCTTTATTCAATCGGAGTAACATTTATACTTACTTAAAGCATGTCATTGAACTTATATATTCGTACAACTTTATCAACGGCAACAATAATAATTGTAATAATGACGAGAACGTAACGACAATAGTGGTAATAATGGTAATAATAGCAATAATATCGTCAGAATGGTAACCCGTCGGGAAGAACGAGCCTCGATACTGATCACGAACTCGTACCACTTGTTTGCAAGTGTTACACTTCCCGGCCGTCTGTATTCGATTCGTGTTGAGCAAAAAAATAGATCTAATCACAGTGACGATGGTACTTATAATCGTAATGATAATGACAATGACAAGAATAATGATAACGTCGAAGATTAATCGTAATCGTCGCCCGACTATCGCTATATTTTTTTTTTTTTTTAATTTATTATTACTCTCACTACACGGTGTTTCGGTTAAAGTATATCCCTCTTCTCACAGTATCTTTCATCCCATCTGTCCATGAAATAGACGAATAATTGATTCTCCTGTATTCTACCTCACAGATTCTGCTCTTTCTCTCTCCCTCGTCATTTATGTACATTGTCTCGTTCCACTGTGACGAAATGATCTCAGTCTGCAAAATAATAAGCGTCGCACGGAAAATATCTTCGCCTCTGTTTGGTCATCTTGCCTAGTTTCTCGAATCCTCCGTTTTAGATTAGTACCTCGCTCACACACCAAGTTATTTGGTAAACGTTAAAGACAATCTTTTCAACGTCGCCATCTTCATCTCGTTCGTCTCGTGTCGTATACGTGTCGATGCCAGAGAAACGGACCAGAAACGCTTGGTTTTTGTCGGTTCGACGACAAAGTATTGTCAGAAATTTGTTCTCGTTTCGTCGAGCCTTCGATCGTTAAGCGTTCAAGAGGCAGAGAATATTCTGTGTCGGTATTGCGATGCGCGCGGGAAATGTTATCGATATTTACATGCTCGGGTTCCCCGTCGCGCTTCGCGATCCGTTAAAAGATACGCTAACTTACAACGTAAACGGATGCAAATACAATCAACAAAAAAATAATAACAATTTACACAGACGCGATCGTACTATGCACGTGTCTATGTTTATTCTAATGAACTCTCCCAACAAAAGAAACGAACGCAGCACGTTTCAAAAGCTATTGCACAAAAGAACGAGTATATCCTTCGTCCCGACTCGGATCGATCGACGATTCACGACGAGCACGAGGATCAAGGATCGTCCTCGCGTTTCACGGGGCTCGTCGATCCTCGACGCGCCTTCAAACGTCTGGAAATTCGATAAGTACACCGTGTTTGCGATTGACATTTCGGCAATTAACAACCAAGCTTAGTGCATACCCGGCGATCTCGTGTGTACATGCACCTATTATTTGAAGTTCAAGGTTCCTCTCGCACAGAGTCTTATCTCATCGATCATCACACGCACAATTAGCCAAGTGAATCAGTGATATACTTGCCAAACTCTCATTATAATATTCATAATTTTTCTCTCTCTCTCACACACTTTTTCGCTCTCTCTCTCTCTCTCTCTCTCTGTAGACTATGTACACACTATGGACAAAAGTGTTTCGCCGTTTAGACTCGTTGATAATATAAATGCGTCGGTATACTCGTCGCTAGTTATTCTACATCAGACAGTAATAAGAGTAGTGGTAGCAATAATAATAATAATGATAATGATAATAATAATAATAATAATAATAATATTAATAATAATAATAATAATAATAATGATGATGATTGGTTAGTCCTAGAAACGATCTCGGTGGTTGTAACGATGACGATAGTAATAATAATATCTAGCAGTAGTAAGTTACGTAATTTATAAGTTAGCCATCGATTCTTCACTTTTTTTTCCATTTTTCCATTTTAGCAGAAGCAGCATCGTTAGCGCGGTTCCACAGTTTCGTTACATTTTTTACTTTTTTTTTTTTTTTTACTTTCTCGTTACTTTTTGTATCTTTTTAAACGTTTAATTGGCTTAACGGTTAGTTAACAGTCATGCACTGGTAAGAG